TATGTAAGAAAGATCTACACCTAGCCTTCTCGGAGAAGGGCGAACAATTTATGAGGTGTGCAAGTTGCGAATGTTAAAGATCCCTTGGTGGTCTAACATCGATAAGAGTAGGCTTCTGCCGCTATCCGTACAAAATTCAAAATTTCCTACCAACTGAATGTTTAATGAGTCCCGCATGCATATATGATCTTATGCAGTTGCGAGAGCCGTAAAACCCTTACAAATTTGTTTTTATAGAGATAGATAGCTATAAAGATAGGTAGATGTAAGTCCCCTTCCAACAAAGAAAGCCTATTTAGTAGGCAAGACCTCCGAATTCAATGACCATTGTTAAAAGGTACCAGCCTTGAAGGTGGGTGCCTTCACAAATCTTGAGACAACCCAATTTCAGGAGAGCCCCCATACATTTCATTCTGATGGACAGAGCAATGGTAAACACATTTTTTTAAAATATAGATAAAAATCTAATAAGAGAAAACAAAGGACAGAAAAAGTAAAAGAAAAGACAGAAAATATACAGTAGCTGAATTTTTTTTAAAAGACGACAGACTTTCTGGAGTCTCTGTTAAAGTGGGTATGACACAAAGAGGGCAGACAACTGTCAGTTTTAACTGAAAGTGAAAGAAGTGTAATAGACCCCTTAAAGGAAACTATTTTTAAAAACAAAAAAACCCAAAACAAAACAAATAACAACAACCAAGCAACATGAGTTTGTTCAAGGTATAACATTCCATAATTTTATTCTATGACAGGACATTCAAAATACTGGGAGCTCGTACTTGGTCATTTAACACTGGCACCACAGAGTCTGAGGAGTCACAGCTTTGCTTGTAGCTCTGTCTAAAAAAGAAATGGTCAACACTGTTGGGTTATTTAAGAAGCGGGACCTCCAAGTTTAACATCCACCACAGAAAGGACTGAGCCAAGTGGGAAATTCGTGTAAAGTGCCTTTCCTAATAACACAACGTCAGATCAAGGTGAGGCTCGAACCCGCAATCTCACGATTACGAGTCCAGTAGCCTAACCACTAGGCTACGGACGCCACTTCAGTTGTTACCACACTCTCACCGTTATAACAAACAGTACATTTTTATGCACCATTTCCATCCAATTATTCTTCATGATCAGCAGACTAGACCGGCTAGCTTTCCCTGACATTCTTTGACTTCTTCCGCATCACTTTATCTGATCACTGAGAGAGAAAAAAGTTCTCAGAGTGGAAGTGCCCGTGTTTTTATTGCTGTAGGCATAATGAGAGTGTAAGGATGGGTGTATCAGTGTGTGGGCGCATGTGTGTGTGTGTGTGTGTGTTTGCGGAGGAAAGAGAGGGAGAAGGAGAAAGAGTAAAGGAACAAGAGAGAGAGAGAGAGAAAGAGAGAGAGAGAGAGAGAGAGAGAGAGAGAGAGAGAGAGAGAGAGAGAGACAGAGACAGAGACAGAGACACACACAGACAGAGAGACAGACAGATAGACAGACAGACAAATAGGCAGATAGACAGACAGACAGACAGAGTTGTAAGAAAAACAGAATAAAAAATAAAAAGAAACTCCGAGACATCCCAGCAAGGACAGCATCTCAAACTATTGCAAACAACTCCATGATTCCTCAGTCCCTGTAATACTGTACCAAGCAATCCATGTGGAATAATCAATAATCATATGTTTAAACACATCTTGTACATGTAACAATAAAAACACTAGACGGTCGAAAAAAGAACATGAGATGACATTGCAAAGTTCCTCTCCCACCAAGCCCAACAGGTGGCAGAACATGACACACTACACTTAAATTGGTGTAATTAGATTATGGCAATCGAGTGGAGGTGAAAAAATTGCCCTATGTCTTTTCCAACTCTTTGACAGTACAAATTAGAGCACTTTATGTCAAAAGGTGCAAAACTGTCCTGAGAGGAATTTCCATCTGCAGAAGATTATTTACAGAGCATCTCTCTTCTTTTGCGAGGATGTATCCCACATGGCCTGAGTTTTCTTTGACAAGTACTCTATCGAGAGTGGCCATAACACCTAATTATCCAAATTAGGTTGATGGGAACAAAATATTAATTATCTTAAGCTACAAAAAGATTTCACAGAGTCTTTCCTGTACTGAGAAGCTTTGCAAAACTTCATTTATTTTCCTTGCGGTTAGAGGCTTCAGATGGTATACAATCCTAAAATTGGACTTGATGATAAAAACTGAGATGGCCGAGTAGGCCAGTCAGCATAGATGGATAGGTGGGTGGTAGGGTGGGAGCATTATAAAGGTTTAATGTAATGTACATGGCATAGGGTAAGCTGAAAATTTGTTTCACATCATTTCAATGGATCAAGTCGACAACACATTACAGTGAAAGGTTAGCAAAATGACTTAACCTCAATTCTTATACAAATGCTCATAAAAACATGCACACAAAATAAATGTACAGAATTATGGGCAAACAAACAAAAAAAAAAAGACTTGTTCTGACTTTTGGTATTTCGACATTCAAATCTACAACAGACACGATCCAAATCAAAATACTCAAACGAAAATGTTAAGAACTTGAACTTTTCGCTTCAATATTTTTTTTTTTAAAGCCGCATAATCAGAATCAGAGACAATATGTGCATCAAGATTCAGAATTAACAATCAAGCATCCACAAAATCATCAGAGCAAAAAGACTTATCTGCCGACAGGACAAAAGGTTAAAAAGGTATCACCGACCAAAGAATTATGCAACAAGAGAACAGAATCCCTTGGGAAAGAGGTTGTCAAAACTCAACCATACATAAAATATTATAGATAAGTAGGAGGGTACGGTACATTTGAACTCAATTATGCCAAGTGTTCAGAGAAACATTTAAATATTTACGTGCTGTAGAGAAAAACATAACCCCGCTAACCTGCCCGTAAAGCAGCGTGTAGTAGAATATAGCAACATGTTTGGGACTACTGGGGCTGTGCGTACGTCAGCAGGTATAAGCTGCCACACTTTGATCACAACCCAAACCTGATAGCTATCCACCAATCATGCCCTACCCCTGACGATATTTTTGTTTTAGTTTTACCGCAACACAATTAGTTCATAAAAGTGGCGAAGATCAGAAGTGTTACAAGAGTGTAACAAACACAAAAAAGAAGGTGGAGAGATAAGGATGACAGATGTTTGATAGCAAAGAAGAAGCAAACCACATGAGATCACCCGTCAACCATCCACTAGGCATGTGACAGGGATGTCAGTCTATCTGCAGTGTTCAATTCAACCTTTTAAAAAAGCCTTTGAAATTATAGACTTATCCAGTACGACCAAATAGAGGGCCTTAACATTTCTGCAAGCAACCCACATTTATACACAGGTCCAAACCCTGACTGCCAACACCCTGGTCTGGTCAGCTGAGATTAGAGCATGCCAAAATATAAGTCTGTAAAAAGACCAAAAGAACACTACCGTACGCATATGCACACACACACACACACACACACACACACACACACACACAGAAACAGTTAACTTTTACCCATATGGCTCAAACCTCGGCCAAACCAAACAAACTGAGTCCCTTATCTTTTTGGGTTTTTTTGGAAGGAAAAAAAAATAAGCCCACCCCTTTGAGGAACACACGCACGAGAGTCTCCAAGTAGGAACATTCACATCATATCTTTTGTCTGTCCTCAAAACATCATTTAAAATGAGAATTCTGAGCAGTCATTCTTCACTTTTACATACATCCAAAACAATTCAAGCATGAAGAAACATTAAAATGATGTATACACAGATATACAGACTATACATTATGATACAGGAAAGCAAGAGAGGAAATTGTGTGACCAAGGTGTACAAAGAACTAAAAGTCTCTTCTAATAAATTCTGAGTGATCTTATCTACATGTCCATCATATTGCAAATGGTAATTAAAAAAACCATGAGAGCTGACTAGCCTGAGCTTCATTACAATGCAGACTAAAAGATTTGCACTTAAACATCTTTGTTCAGTAAGTCACAGTACATTGTAACAGCAAATTCACCAAAAGACTCTAAAGAGCATCAGGCATACACTAACTTAATCTTTTAAATTTCCCTTTTCCAATCTTAAAAAAAACCCCAGATTAAGTGTATGGTCCACTACACACTCAACCTTTCTCTTATCAACTGTACACCTAAATACGGTTACGTTAATTCTCAAATGACTTTCTTATTGAAAGATGACAGCAACATCAAAGTACACTGAGACTGAAATAACGAGATGCATCAAACATGCACGTTTTTCAACATTCCTATAATGTGATTTTAAACAAGCATGAAAATGTTCAGAATGAAATATGAAAATGCAACAAAAGAATTTTTTTTCAAAATTTTGATGGCACATCATCAAAGACTACCCCTCCCTTAGAAAAACGTACGAGGAAAAAATACCCCCATGCAGTTCTCTCATTCACTCTCATGCACTCACTATTTACAGAGGATAAATAAGACAGTAAGAAGGGAAAAAGTACATTCAATATCATTGCCAGTGGGACAAGAAAACAGGATCTCAGCAGAGCAAAAGAAACATCTAGAACAATCTGTTACAAGACAAAGGATATTACTGGTGTCAACACTTTTAACCCTACCCGTACACCCTGGGGTCATTTTGTACCCCCGGGGTTGTATTCTTTACATTTTAGAATACTTCTAGTACCAAGATCTCTTTGAAACTTTCAGTATTTCTCAAAAAATCGTTTTGACAGACTGCTATGCAAAGCGTATGGATCGGCTTAACGAGTAAATTTCCTCTTTGAAAGTGGTGGCACAGAGTGCCCCACGTCGTATGGATAAGATAGTGAAACACGATGAGAGGATAGGGTTAATGATTTTTTTTTTAAGCTCCTTAAAAATATTTTCAAAGTTTTCTGTATTTTCTCTTTGGCATTTTGTTTTGGCAGAACAACATCCGTTGCACCTTAAAAAGAAAAGGGTTGGAAGTACTACTCATATTTATAATTAACAAACTAGAAATTACAAATGGAGAAGAAAGTTCATCTGAAATTGGACAAATATATATAACAATGCTTTTCCAGAATGATATTAGACCATTTGTTCCCTTTTTGATTTTCACAACGATTAATGTCAGTCAAAAAGACAAAACAAAACAAAAAACAAACAAACAAACAGTGGAAGAGCCGTGATCATACACGGCGGTACAAACAGAAAGAGTTGAGTGTTTGCTTAGCGTACAACATCAAGTTTTGATTCCACGTTACGTTAACAGAGAAATGGGACTTTAAAGCACTGGTACCAAAACTTTATGAAATGATCTATATTCAAATGAAATTGATAAAGCTTTCACTGTAAATTCTTTCTAAATGCAGGTAATCAAATTCAAGCTGGTTTCTCATCAACAGAAACACTAAATGAATGCTTGGGGTATAAATCATTATTTCATGTGATAGTAAGTGTGGAAAAGAAAAAAAAATCTTCTCTTGAGACTCGGTAAGCCTTTAAATTTATGCTCCTCCTGTCTTTGCCCATTTGCATCCCACTGGATTTAAAATAACTTTTGACATCATTCAGTGCACCAGCATACATTTTGATGAGATCTGATTTTGTAGACACACCATTCACCATAAAGACTCAAAACATAACAACATTCAGATGCAATACAACTACGGCAGACTTCTTGACTATCCCAAACCCCTTTGAAACCCTACAAATAAAACCATACAAAAAAATATATAGAATTGATAAATCTTTATGACATTCAGAGCATTTTGTATTACACTGATACTTTAAACTGACCGGGGTGGTTCAAAGATACAAACTTCCACAGCAAGTATGCATAAGAAGCAACAATCTACTATACCGGTATCCAGTGTTATGGAGTCATAAATAAAGCAGAACCACACTGATTGCACATTATCTGGCAAATGATCACAAGAAATGAAGCAGCCAGAACGGTAGAATTTCATCAAATAAAACAAGAAGATATCGGAACAACGGTGGGAGCATAAGGTTAATTAATAAACCTAATGAAAGTTGTACCAAGTTAAAACAAAACACTGTGGAAAACTTCCGCTGTCATCACTGTTCAATAGCGAGGCCATTTGTTTGTGACTAGGACTTTAAACATTTTTACGAGACATTAACCAAGTCTTATTGATCTAATCCCTTTTCTTCCCTCTGTCACCATTATAATTTAACCAACAAACTCACTGAAAATCTTCCTCAAATAGTTTGTTTATACTTTTATTGTCACAAAGTCAACTCTTTTATTCTTTATAAATCGTGAAAACAATAAAGGCTAAATCTACAGAATTGTCTGTAATACCTGACAAACCATTGATTGCTTGTCAAAATTCTTCAAAACTGGTACGTGATTTGCAGTAAACTAAAATGCTATCCATTACTATAATAATATGATTGATAATATGATGACACACTACATAAATTATATTTCAATATGACCGCTGAATATCATACTGAATATGATATCAAAATATTTTGCAGCACCTTGATATGTAAATGAAAAACTAAACCATATAAAGACTTCATGCAAGGCATTCACCTCAGAAGCCATTAACAAAATGAGAGGAGGAAAGAAATGAAAAACTCAGTCCTCGTGTTCTCAATTATGTCTACGGATAGTAACAGCCTCGAAACAATATAAATATAGCCACACTGCCAGATAAATCTACCATAAGAATTATTCAAAAGAAACCTATAAAATGATAGAGAGCTATACACTCCAAATATTGACAGCCAATAGAAAAAAAAGGACACATTAAAGTCCAGTATAAACTCACTGTAATTAACATACACAGCATTAAGGGTAACATTCTTACTTTATGAGTCAACTGTTAAAAAACAAATGAAATGCCCTAGATATTTTGTTTTCCCTGGTGTATTATGATACCAGTCCATTATGCTCGCCGCTCAAAGGGACACTCAGAAAGTAGTGAAATCTGAGAAAAAAAAAGATGTCACCAAACTCCAAGGGAGAAAATCCACCCACAGAGGGGCAAAACTGTTCCATTTTGTTGTGATTACTTCCCTTGTGCACGGCTCACCGGCCACCCCTCGAGACCGACGGGAATGTAATGTCGCCTACACAGATCACACTCATCAAACGAGAAGATCACACGTCGAGTCAACTCCTTCAGGGTGGCGGGAATTCAACCTGGTCTTTTTGTAAAAATCTCCTTTATCACGCTGCTACGTGTAAGCACAGTAAATATCACAAGGTACCTTCAGCTGATTAAAAACTCCCTTCCATTGGAGCAATCAAGAGGGATTTTTTTTCTCTCCATCTTCAGATCCCTAAAATTGCAGTGGCACTCACAGCCAGCATCAGGTGATAGATACCTTCCATTGAATAAACTTTCTTCCAGAGATGTAAGTTCCAACACTGTTCATGTCCTTTCCTGGCACTGTGCTGGTGCAAGGAGCTCACAGCAATCTCTCAGGGGAAGGGTTCGAAGCTTCATTCATCCTTGCTGCTCCGGCTTGGGTTGGAGCTGACACTGACCACATCTGCCTCCCTCTGGGAAGTCGAGTCCAGCAGTGGGGCGTCTGAAGAGGATAATAGGAACATTTTAGCATACACTGGCATAGCCACGGAGGATGGAACAGATGGATGGTAAGAGTTTTATGTCTAAATCCATAATGTTCTAATAATTTTAACAGGAAGGCAGCTTCGCTGTTACGGCCAAATCAGGCTGAGGGAAATACAATATGTCAGCTGACAGAAAGATACATCCAATAAAAACTTTCCCAACTAGGGAATGAGACTCAAGTCCCCTTTTGTGAACCGTGAGGAGTCTAAACATAACACCACAGATGCTGGTAAACCGTTGAGTTAGATAGATGTATACAGACAGTCTTGATTTGGTTTGGAATAGACTCAACTCTTTGCCTGCCTCTTATTTATTATAATGTTTTTAAAAACCTTCTCTTTTCTTAGCTTATCCATTCTGACATGAATGGAATTATTAACAGTTACCCTGACAAACAAATGGGAAAAAAAAAAAGCCCGACAGCACTCCAAAAAACGACACAACATTTTCAACCATCCTGGTCTTACCATCCGTGGCGAGTTGATCATCTGAGGATGTCAGACTTCCAGCTGTGGCTCTCTGTGATGCCATGGATCTGTTTGATGTGCCAGAGTCATACGTCTCCACGGTTACCGACGTGGAAGCATCGCTCATGCTCACATTCACTGTGTCCACTGAACCGAAGATCTCCGAGACGCCATCGCGGTTCATGGTGCTAGTAGTCACCGTGGAGTGACGGTTGCTATTGTTGTTGTTGTTGTTGTTAATGTTGTTGTTCCCATCACCCACCATGTTGTTGTTGTTGTGCTGCTGTTGTTGCATAATGGAGGCCCTGACCGCAGGGTATACGTTGGGCAGCCGACGGTACTCTGACGTAGGGCTGGTCCCGTGGCCACTCACTCCAGGACCCAAGGTCACAGGTAGGATGGCCCCACCAGCTCCTGGTCTCACGGCCTCTTCGTAAGATGGAAGGTGCACTCTGGAGGCATCTGCATAGGCCATCAATGCCAGTCTGTCGTGCTCGTCTGAAAAAAGCCGTGAATATATTTATGGTAATTTGAATCAGCGAGACACAAAAAGTGGCCGTCACAGAATGCTGGAAAAATGATTAAATTCAGAACACAACATGGTATAAAAATGATCCCCTGGATTAAGAAAATGAAAAAAGAGCCCCATGGAACACAGGTAAGCTGAACTGAAGTTCACAGGGTAACCGACATATTTCATCAGAAACATAAAAGGACAACGGACAGACACACAGAACGTGGTTAATGTCTCTGTCACAGCTTGAGGTTGATTAAACCTGACCAACCCAAGCACATGCCTCATTTCTCCCTCCATTTACCCTTCATTGAATGAATACCACCACATGTGGAGGAGTAAATCTAGAGGTCAGCCACAGGAAGTTCAAGTCCACTGGCTGAGGCCAGGGCTCAAAGGAATAAGAGGCAGGACCTCTGGATTCAAAATCCATCTCCAACAAGGCAAGTCTTGTTTGTTTTTTTCGTCTGAATAAAGAGAAGCACACATTGACATAATAACTGTCATTTAGCGCAGGAAAAATGTAAGACTGATAAACAGAAATAACAGATCTACCCGAGTGCTCTCTAACCACCCACAGGAACAAGTCAAATCAGCAAAAGCTTTGAAAACTTCTTTAAAAAATACAATTTAAGAAAATCGGGATTAGATTAACTGGGATAACGGTGCACCCACAGCAGAAAGAAAAATGTGGAAAACTTTGGACCACACAAGAGTTCTTCTCACCCAAAGAGTTGTTGTGCACCCTTGAGTAAGGCGGAGGAGCAGGTCCCTGCTGGAACAAAGGAGCACGCGGCTTCTTCCTCCGGAACACCACAATGACCATGATGAGCAGCAGCACCCCCAGCACACTGCAGGCAGTGGTCACCACAATCACCACAGATGACACCTGGAAAGATTTATTTGTTTCATTTAAATGGGGACCATGACAATCATTGACTGATGTGACTTACTGTCAATAGATTAAGTCTGAACTATATAAGCAAGTTTGGGGCCCTTTTCCATTGATTTGTCCAGGGGCTATAAAGCTGTGAATACCACCCTGTCTTTAATCACTTGGAAAAACATCTGGCCCCATGCAAACTAGGAAAATGTCCACTCCTGTCATGGCTACTTGTAAATGAGGCAATTATTGCCCATTCATCTCACTTCACCAACAAGTGACATTATACTTTGCAGACGTGTGATGAGAGGAAATTTTCCTTGTGGGAACAGGACCCTAAACATACACAGGGTTGAGACTGAGTTTAAGTACAACTAAAGTACAGCTGAAGGGAAGAGTACCCACAGCATAATAACAGGCACATTTCTCCGGACACAGACACAGACCATAGCAATACAGAACAGTAGTAACAGAAACTGACCAGTGAAGAACGAACACCGACGAAACTGACCAGTGAAGAACGAACACCAACCATCCATGATACAACATAAAATGCATCGAGGCTTCAGCCTGAATAATGCAAAAACGAGTTTTCAATTGAACATTTTATCTTGTACAAAATATTTCACTATTTTAATTTCATTGCAACATTGTCTGGTAAAAAATGTTTTCGACATGAGTTTCTAGTCATTTAACCTACCTTATCATAAATCAAAACAATTTTTGAAAATGAAATACAAAGAACCAAAACTGAGAGGGAAAAAAAGCAACCTGGCCTGTAGATTTTGGGCAGAAAAGTGAAAAAGAGCACAAAAGTTATATTCCACAAAACTTTCCCTTCCTGACACACAAGGGAATATCTATGTGGTTGGTCCAGCAAACACAGCCATTATATCTGAACGTTGTCAAAATGATAACATGTATGTAAAGTAAATGGTTGACACATATTCAATAGTCAATCAATTATTACACATGCATGAAAGATGCATTTTTTTTCCTTCTTATGCTTACCTTGTTCTTTCCGTCACTGATGTCACCAGAGTTATATGACTTGCCATCATTCTCTCCATCCGGTAACATATCCATTGGAGCGCCAGGTTCTGAGGTGAGGAATGTTTGTTTGAGTGAGTGAAAAAAAGTACTTCGGTAAATAAATATCATTTAAGAGAGGGATGGAGAGTCACATCTTAGGGAAAAAACCCAGAGTTAAAGCAAAGAAGAACATCAGTAGTGCCCTCCAACAACCAGCCAGAGGGGGAGAAGATGAGTAAAAACACACATGGATTCCAAAAAGATCACACAATTTTGAAGGAATAAGTTACACAGATAGTAATTTATAAGTAAGGCACACACCGAAGTGCATACTCTTATTTCTATAACTGGGTATCCATTCCGAATAAGGCGAAGTGAGGAAAATTTATGTAAAGTGCTTTTCCACAGGGACACGACGTTGGGTCCCCGATGGAATTCGAATCCATGACCTAATGGTTTGCAATCCGAGAGTCTAACGACTTGGCCATCGACACCATTCAAATACACAAGGACACACTGCACACTTACCGGAATCCTTGTAACAGCGAGGCGTGTCCCACTGCCAGACACCAATGTTGAGGCTGGAGCTGTGCGTACAGGTGAGCAGGTCCACTCCGTCCAGGCAGGTGCACTCGATGCGAGTCCCGCGGTGGAAGGGCATGCACAGCTGGAGGTCAGCCGAGTCCTCGCCCACACACTTGCAGAAGCCGTTCTTGATCTGACCAAGGTCGGGGCAGTACCACGTACTCTCTGCAAAAAAAAAATTGTAAAGGTTTTATATCCCCATTGACACAATTAAGATTACTCAGGAGGAGGTCCGTTTTGATCCGGCCTGTCGGGGCCAAACCCAAAAAGAAATAAAGAGATACTTGATAAAAAAAAGCCTCCCCATATCTACTACACCACTGATGCTAAAGTGCTTTTTGTGCAATATTTAAAAAACACATGAAAATTTTGAGTTGAAAGAAAAACACATGAAATCTTACAGTCAAGGGTAAATGACCCAAGAGCTGTTCGATCAAAAATATGTAAATAGTCCCAGAATTTGCCTGGTGTTTCTTTAATCCAAATATTACAAATTCTCCTTTCAACTTTTAATTTTTAAAAACTCATACCACATTATACTTACAGAAACTCATTAGTGTTGGCTACAATACCAAACTGAAGATAAATATTCAACCAAACTGATTGTAAATAAACATAGAAAAAGCCTCATAACAACAGAAAATGATCCAGCGGTGGGGAAAAGTAAAAAAAAGGACCAAAACACCACATAACGTCTGCAACTGTACATTACCTGACTCTGGAATACAGATGGGAGGTGCTCTGGACCAGATGCGCGAAGGTCGACACTGCAGCACTTTGGGCCCCACTAGCTTGAAGCCATCGTCACAGATGTACTCCACCTCCGCCCCAACCTCAAACATCGGGTACTCTGCATCATCTTGGCCAGCCAGTCCCAGCCTGGGACCTTCCACTTGAGACTTGCTCAGAATGCTCCACTTTCCATTGTGAATATAGTCCGGAGTCTGGCAAGACTCTTTCAGCACTGAAAAGACAGGAAGAGAAAAACTTTGATAGTCAATGTTCACATATATGCATATTTCATACCTTCCTCTCACCCCATTAAAAACCATTTGCCAAAAATAGTATACAAAGTCTGTGATACATATAATTTTTAACACTGATTTTTTAGCCTACATAAAACTAACTATATATTGTTAAAAAGGTTATAAAGAGACAAAAACAATAAGGATACCTAATACATTAATACGCTTGCAAAGGTAAAACAAGCATCATTATAACTAAGGTCACAAAGATAATTTTTTAACAGTGGCCATTTAACTATTTCTTGCCTACACATATAACATTGGTAAGGGCAATAGATATCAACAATGAAATCAAAGGAAAATGGCCATGTCATGGAGTTTAAGGAATACAATGTAAAAGATGACGTTGTAGTCTTTTGAAAATCATGTTAGTCATTGACCATCCACACTTGAAGATGATATGACAACGGACAAGAGTAGAAATGAAGTCACTATAAACTAATAAGAAAGTTTCTGATAATTCTATCACTATCCAGCTCACCACAAGTCGGAGTGGGACCTTCCCATTGTCCGTTGCGGCAAGTAAGCCTGGCACTAGCAGGATCCAGCAGCTCATAGCCGTTGGAGCAAATGTACTCCACCTCGAGACCCTCTGTCATCATGGGGTTGTAGCTGCTGAACTTGTAGAGGGCCCGAGGCACTTCGGGCGGGTTTGTGCAGTGCTTCCCTGTGGAGGCAAGCATGTGAAACAGATGCCTCAAACTTGACATATTCGACTGACGCATTGTCTGTTCACAGCAGTGGCCTATCCAAAGTACCATAAGCATAGTATAACGGATTGTCCTCAATACTGATTAAAGAACTCTGCCTCTAAATTTTTTACTGAAATTACCATTATCCGTCCATGTAAAGACAGGAGAAATATCATTTATAGACATTAATATATGAGGGGGCCCCAAGACCTATAGAGTGTTCATAAGTTAATAAACACTGATTAAAGTTCTGCCATCACAAACAGATCAAAGTGTTGTTCCTCTCAGCCCCCAAAAAAAACCCATTGCGACTTGCTCATGAAGATGACAATCGTATCTTCTGCTCAGCACAAAGGCATTCTGAACCAAACATGGGAAAATTTCCCAAGGAATACAGCTTGAGATAACAATGTATGTTAGTCCTGTTACTAGGCTGCAGTTTATAGAAGTTCATCATAACAACACACAATTTCTGTCAGGAACAGATTAGGACACTATATTATGTTGTAACCATGAAAAGAGTAGAAAAAGTAAACACCATAAAAATAGCCACAACCAACAACACCGGACAGAAACTTTTGCCCTTACTTGTACAGTGCTGCAGATGGACTGACCCATCAGGCATAGTCCAGAGCCCATGGGGTCCACAGATGACCACAAATCTTGTCTGGAATGTCATGTCATTGGAATAGCCACTGGCGCACACTATGGTGGCCATGCTACCCTTGGCCTTGGGGAACGGCGACTCACTGAGGTTGTATTCCACTCGGGCATTAAGAACACTTGGAGCTGCTAAGCACACAACTGGGGAAAACAAGGCAGAAAGCATTACTACAACTGCAACACAGCTTTATGCACCTTACCTTTTTTTAGAGTGCAATTTTTAAGGTGTGGTATTGAGTAACGCCAATGACAGCCTATAGAGAACTAATAAGTACTACACAATTCCATAAGTCATACTACGCAAGTAAACGAATAATAAACATATCTATGAAAACATACATCTTTCTATGAAATTTGACTCATGCATGCATGCATAACAGCTATGATGAACAAAAGTAAGCACATATTTATGAAACATTTATAATTTATGATAGCTCAACTGTGTGGTAAATTTGCAGCTTCAATACATATTGCACTTAGTTCTTATAGAGAAGTTAACGAAAGAATGTGTATTGTGGAACTCAGTACAGTATTGTGGAACTCAGTACAGTCAGGCAATTACTGTTTCATCTTGTAAAAATGTAGTTGCCATTAAATAGAATGGCAAATAAAAAGGTGAAAACCATATATACCTATTTTTATTCTTAATTTAATCTTAAAATGAGCGATAGGCCTAACCATTGAAATCTGTCAAATTCTGAAATATTCTTAATCCTCACCAGCTCTTGGAACACACTTGGGTGCCTCTGAAGGTGACCACGTTCCATTTGAACATATGAGTTTGTCTGGACCTTCCAAACGATAACCTAAGTTGCAAGAGTAGTGCAGCACATGGGTGGGCACTTGAATTTCCACAATGTTCCCATTTTCCACAGCTGGCATTAAGCTGCACTCTGACGACTCTACAGAAAGAAGAACCATCTTTGAAAACTCTCTGTATTCCACAAAATTCGTTACACATAAATCAAAATTTTTAAAAACAAAAACATCTTTAATTTTCTCAAAAATAATTTCAGTGCAATGAATAGTACACTTTAAAAAATATAAGAACACACTCTAAACTCTTATTTTTCATTTCAAACTCAATCCTTTACAGCTTTTGACTAAAATTTCTTTGAGTTCGCGAGTATGGAGCATGTCAATGACATTGTTATTAAATTAATATTCATGAATGTTTCACATTAAAGTATCTTTTGCCACATATTGGCTTGGACAAGGACTATTATAAAAATTGAAATTAAATTAATTGTAGCGCCCAACAAATAAAAAGTGAAGAAGACAAACAATGAAATGAAATCGTACCAGCGGCTGCTATCCAACACAAAGAAGCAGCGAAAACACAACCAAGGATTGTCTGGAACCTCATGATGGCCATCAACGTATCAGCGCTGAGGCTGCTTCGCTCTTCAAAAAGATGAGACCTGTAAGAAATCATAAGTTAAATGTCTGAGGCCCAGCTAAACCTTCTTCAATTACAAGAAAACTATGCCAGTAGTAGTGAAAATTGAACAACATCCATACTAAGCTAGATATTTTTTTACTTTCACTACCATCACATGCTCAGGTTTCGTAAAGCCCTTGTTTTGTTATTTATTTCATATCCGTCTTAATAGAATCTGCCTTTATTTTTGTGGCAAATTATATAGAGAGCTTTTTTGAAATATTTGATGGTCCTATTCCAACTAAATTTTACACACTAAACCTAATTACATTGTCATTTTCTTGATATGAACCCTGAAGTAAAAAAAATATCAAATAAATATCTGATTTGTGGGGTGGGAGGGGGGTGGGGAGGGGTTACAAGGGGCATGCCCCACGATTTGATGTTTTGCTAGATTATGTGTGAAATTTTCTTTAAAATTATTGATTAGCGTCAGTTTTGGAGGCCACAGTGTGAACTGCAGCAAAAATTTCTGTGTGCATCTGTGTGTGGGAGTGAAAGTAAAAATTTACCCAAGTTAGACTAATGCTCCGTCTTAGCTGCTTATGAAGATCACATGCTCAGCCTTGCCTACAAATCAACAATACAAAAATCTAATTTCATCACGAGAACTAGAGACAATGCATGATTGAGGAAAACAAGAAAAGAGAATCACCTGTTCTTTAGATTAATCACTTATTGTTTACTGGACAGGAGGGAACTCTTGTTGTAGTCTAGAGGGTGTTCGTCTCTCAATCAATAGGTCCTGGGTTTGAATCCGGATAGCGACATAAATTTTCTCCTTTCACATCTTTTCCTGCTCTTTAACAATGTTCTGTCATCTGCTTTTGCCTCCACTTTCTGCCCTCACCCCCTCATCTTCTTTGCCCAATCCTCTGGGATGACCTGTGAGCAAGTTGCGTACCTTAAAGATCCCTTGCAGGTCCAAAATCAATAAGAGTAACTTAGTCTTTGGCTGCCACCCACGCGAAATTTAAAATTTCCTACCAACTGAAAATGTTTAATGTGTCCCGCACGATATGACCATATTGATGTTTTACAATTCAGTTAGGTTTTATCTCTTGCTCACTGAGCATCAAACAACATACATGTATCGGACAGTATCGGGAAGCATGTTCAAAAGTAAACGTTAAGATCCAGAAGTAATCGTCGGTGAAGCCAAAACCTACACTCCATAGTTATTGTTGGGGCTACAACCGGACTATCCTGGACTTGCTCCTGATGAATCGACAATAAGAAACAGATTGATAAGCTCAAGTGGAACATGGTAAATTTATATAAGCGGCCCTCTTCAGGAGAAGGGGTCCCCGCCTAACTCCATAGAAATCTATGCACAAAAATAATGGTTTGTGACAGTTTTTAGTGCCAAAATTGTTCTCAGCACACTAACAACAAACGTTCCAATTTTGCCAAAAAATAGTCTTATATATGGCTTTGGACCTTTTCTATAACTTTACAGGTGTGGTCTTTTCACCCCGGCAACTCGACTTCCGTTTTTGTTTCCGATTTTGTGTATAAATTTCTGGAGTTAGGCTGGGACCACTTCTCCCGAAGAGTGCCATATTAGCCTAGACTTATGTTAAATTCAAAGTTATCTTCATAATCATACTCATAACAAACGAGTTTTGTGAGCCAACTGATTCTCGTGTATTGATGTATTGTCTGCAAGTAATCGGACCAACTTCGCCTACGACTGACTCACTGACTGAAAAAGTTAAAAGGCTCTATTATTATAAGGAAGTGGCTATCCTCACCCGGGGTGAGAATAAAAATACGATCGACCTCTCACCCCGGGTGAGACTTGCCAGCCTTGGCTATTCTCACCTGGTGTGAAACAAGACCTGTTTTTCCTAATTTCGGAATACTTTCTATCGGTGTCGACGATCAAATTGACCAAAACAAAGTTAAAAAATGATGTTAAAGTACAGTAAATTAATTTGGTCGTCTACAAAGATGCTACGGCTATTTAACTTTTCGAATCGAGCCGAACTACGCGGGTCGCCATTTTGTTTTGCCCGGAAGTTCTCGCGCTACTCCTCTCTCTCTTTCTCTCTCTCTCTCCACTGTACGCTTTTTTAAGGCCAATACTGATGAGAATAGAAATAGAGGTGGCCCTATTATAAAGTTACAATTACAATGGTACGGTCCATCATTAAGTTTCAAGGTAGCTAGCGACGAACTATTTGGCTTTATAGACTGGAGACTGGAGAAGAGAATAAGCGAAATCGTTAGAGTGAAAAGCTAAGCTTTGGGAAATTAATTCACGTAAATAATACTAATGTCTCAGTCAGAGGCTGATCAGTCATTGGTCCACTGATCATTGATGAAAACAAATAGAAGAGAAGTAGCAGTACATGAAGAAAATGTAGATCTACAACCCCTGTTCAACGTGTGGTAAATACAATAAATCAGGATGGAAATGGGTTAATCATACACAATGCAACTGTAACACGAAATATAAACACTTCGTCAACAATGTTCTATACAACATAGAAGAACGCAGTCAGCTGTAAAACCTTACTTTTCCCACTGTAAACAAAGAACAAGAATCACTTCGACGCCATGTTGGATATAATGACGTCATGCCAGAGGTCAAACCATTTGCACATGCGTAGTGCCCTACCGGATGCTCTCATTCATAAACAAACCCAGGAGGGTCGCGAGTAGTCTTTGCTTGGTTCCTCATTTCAGGTTCGGTGTGTTGCATGCTTGATGCTGCTCACCTTCGAGACGACACAGTTGAATCATTCTTTCGTGTGAGCGAGAAAGTATATTTACCTAACACATCGTGCCGTAAGATTGTTGTTCGGGTTTGCCTATCTTTCAAGGATAGTCTTGTTGTGACGTTTGGCAGTGAGTTCAACTTGCATCTGAAGACAGAAACTTCCTAGTTTTGCTTTTGATGTGCTATCAGCTGATTGGATTACGTGCATTTAGAGAACTGTTCGAAGTGCTGGTTGTGTTGTGCTTTCAGTTTCAGCAGCCTGGGAAATTTACTGTGCCAATTGGATTTATTATATTGTGTATTACGTGTAAGTTTTGTGTTCATTTCTGTTGAGTGACAATTCCATGATCAGTTTCAATCATACTCAATGCAAACTGCAGCTGTGTGTGTGTGTGTGTGTGTGTGTGTGTGTGTGTGTGTGTGT